GCATGGACCACTCACAGGTGAGACATCATTTTCCTGTCTCCATTCATTTGCTCATCCTTCCTTCCATTAAGTATCTGCTGAGACCTCACAGGAGCCAGGCCCCCAAAGTGCTGCTGGCTCCAGGAGTCATTAATTACACAGACCACTGACACAAGGGCAAGTGCTGTGACAGAGGAACAATGGAACAATGAAAAAGAGTGGGGAGGTCGGGGCAGGGAACATCATTCTGCTTCTATAAAGGGACGAGGGTTAGGGTTCTGAGGGCAGAGAGCTGTGACTGATCTCAGGTGAGATTCTGAAGCACATTATAGATAAGCTGGCTTGTGGAAAGGAAACAAGGCCATTAAAAGATTCATCAAGTGGTCTATCACTCCAAGTTCACTTCCTTTCCATTAAATTTTGTGATCTAGAAAATGCAGGGGGCAGGCCAAATACATTTTTTAGTAAAGTCTCAGTAATATCCTTGCGGACAGGACAGAAAAACACAAGTTTCAAACTAACATTATGAAGTGATTCTCAAATAGCTATACCCTGAAGGACTCAGATCTCAGCCTCTTCCAATATTTTTTTATCAAGACCTTGATGAAAACATATATCAACATGCTTATCAAATTTTAGGTTAATACAGTGCTGACAAGGCTATCCAATATTTGAGAAAAAACAACCAAGATCCTAGAAGATCCTGACAGGCTGGAAAAATAAGCGATATCCACCTAAACAAGTGAGGTCTTGCATGAGGTCTATACAAAACATGGAATACAGGGATAAGAATTTAAAAATACAAGGGTTTGGGCTGACATTAAGGTTGCTGAGAGTTCCCTATGGACCTAGGGACCTGACTGACAAAGAGCTCAGAGGCTAGGCAGAGGGTACAGATGAGGGAGATGAAGGTACAGAGAGGACAGCAGCTTCATCCCATGGCAGGTGTTGTGCTCCAGGCAAAGTGTGGATTGCCTGGAGGAATGTGACAAGGGCAGGTGTCCAGAGCAGAGGGGAAGGACTGAGCCTGGGACAAGAGTAAAGAGTGAGAACCCACAGCAGAGGCCCCTGGGACTCTGACAGCAGAAAAAGAGCCAGGAAACATTTGGAGACAAAAAGCAGAGTGGCAAGTAAGAAGCCATCTAGAGAACTTGCCCTAGCTGCCAGCTCACCAGCTGGATGCCAGCAACTACAGCTAAGCAGCTACAGATTTCAGAGGAGGATTTCTCCAGATGTGCACCTGGATCACCTCTGCAGTGTTTATGCCATGCTCTTCGCTATCCACTGTGGGCTGTGGCATCAGACTGTCCTAATGAGGAATGCTGACTCTTGGCCACTCAGCCTCAACCACCATCAAACCTGATTCCCACTCACGTACCCTAATTTGGCCCAGGCTCATCTCATGGAGAACCCACATAGAAGTCATCACAGTGGGGAATGATAGTCACCTTTTTACTGCCACTCAAGCCAGAGGATGCAGTCCTCCTAGAAGTTACGTTCTAAGGAAAATGTCTAATTCCCTTTTCTGGCAAGGCCTGTGGCCAGTCTAGCTGGTATCTCTGCCCAATCAGAGACCTCTGCAAACTCAAGCAGGTAGGCCCAGCAGTCAGGCATTACCTCAGGGCCACTTTGGCCAAGGGCTCCTCTCACTCAAGGGCCAAATACCAATCAGCCTATAAGAGCAAGGCATCACAATGACCAACATCTCTCCATCTCCCAGGCTCTTATCCTAAATCTTTCCACATGTACAGGGTTGCTCTTCCAAGAGATCCTCCAGGGCCCCCATCACTCCACTAACTGCTGCTCCTCCTGGGTTCCTGATCCTGGTTGATAGCACCACTATCCAGCCACTTTCCCATCCTCCCTTCTTTCTAGTGCACCCCATCTGTCACTAATCCTGCTGGGCCACCCTAGACTTTGTCAGGCTTGCTCCCCATCCCTGCGTCAATCATCATGGCCTTGCCTCAGGCTACCTGCTTCCTCCCCAGGCCCTCACTCCAGTCAGTCGCTTCTTTGCAGTTACATCAAAGGACCTTTTTAAATAGAACTCTGTCCGGGTTTGCTATCTTTTAACCAGCAAAAGGGCCAGAAAAGACCTGGCCCCATCTGACTCCAGCCTGTCTGCTTACCTCCTGTACTAGAATGCACCTATTGCTCCACAGCAACAGCATCTTGCATATTGGAAGGGCCAATCAAAGTCAGAGCCCAGACCATGCACATGCAACTACTACCACTGTCAGGTATGTACGCAGGCCCCTCAAACTTCTCACCAATGCCAAACCCTGCTCCAAGAGGTTTCACACAGCCCAGAAGCATGACCATGACCTTGCTGTTTTTTCAGCATTGACCCCAGGCTTCATAAATGCTGCTAAATGGATGGATTAACAAAGGAAGCACCTCTGCTACCTTTTCTTCACTTTGCAGTGTTCCAATGCCTGGAAATGGCTGGAGTTCCCCAGAGCTCAGCAGAGGATCACTGAAACTGTTTTGGCTTTAAAGCCTGCCTTTGGGCCTCTCACTAATCAAAGTGGTTCCACAGGGCAGACCCTCTAAGGTCTCCAAGCACCCACCAAGGCTGTGGCCATTCTTGGTGTAGAAGCAGGTGCTGTTGATGAGGTTGACACAGCAGCCAATCACGTCTCCTGTGGTGAATGTGGGACCATAGGGCTGGCCAGTCCCGGAGGAGCAGAATGAGTGCCCATCATCGCCGTGGTAACCATAGGAATGTTTATCCCAACCTGTGGGGGAAGAGAACAGCAACAGCTGAGTGGAGGTACTTGAGACAGCAGCAGACTCTGGCCTGGGTCTGAGCCCCTCTCCCCAGCCTGCTACCACCTCAGTGAGTATTCCTGGCCTCTCCGAGGCAGCTGTGGAAGGTCTGGCTATGCCAAAGGAGCAGTGAGTCCAGTAGGTCACCACACCTAAGTAGCTGAAGCAGTCAAGGGGTGCAAGCTGTGGTTAACAAGAACTCAAACCATGAGTGACCTGGAAGGGACTTACCAGAAGGCCATGTGTGTGACAAGGAAGAGGTCAGGGAAAGCGTCATGAAGAAGAGGGGCTTAAACTGACCTTTGAGAGGGTTTTTAACGTGGTTTTTTTTTTTTTTTTTTTTTTAAATTTATCTACGATAGTCACACACAGAGAGAGGCAGAGAGAGAAGCAGGCTCCACGCACCGGGAGCCCGACGTCAGATTTGATCCTGGGTCTCCAGGATCGCGCCCTGGTCCAAAGGCAGGCGCCAAACCACTGCGCCACCCAGGGATCCTCTTAACGTGTTTTTTAATTGAGGTATAATTTACTGGGCAGCCCAGGTGGCTCAGTGGTTTAGTGCCGCCTTCAGCCCAGGGCCTGATCCTGGTGACCTGGGATCGATCCCACGTCGGGCTCCCTGCGTGGAGCCCACTTCTCCCTCTGCCTGTGTCTCTGCCTCTCTCTTTCTCTTTGTGTGTGTCTCTCATGAATAGATAAATAAAATCTTTAAAAAAAAAATAATTTACATGTAATAAGATTCTCCCGTTTTAATTGACAGTTCAACAAGTTATCACCATGTTCAAGATACAGAACATTTCCATTGTTCAAAACGGTTCCCTCATGCCTCCCCATGGTCTGGCCCACTCCACCCATCTCTAGTCCTTGGCAACACTGATCTGATTTGTTCCTAAGGTTTCGCCTTTTCCAGGATGTCATATAAATGAAATTACAGAATACAGAGGGTCTTGTATCTGGCGCCTCTCACTTAGCACAATGCATTTGAGATTCATCCACATTGTTTAGGTACCAATATTTTGTTTCTTTTTATTGCTGAAGTAGTACTCCATTATATGGATATGCCACAGTTTATTCATTCACTAGTTGGTGACATTTGAGTTGTTTCAATTTTTGGCTATTGTGAATAAAGCCAATAAATATTTGCATACACTCCTTTGCATGAACTTATGTTTTCATTTCTCTTGGGTAAATACTTACAGGTGTTATTGCTGACTCATAAGATATGTTTAACTTGATAACAAACTGTCAACTGTTTTCTTTTTTTTTTAATTTTTTATTTATTTATGATAGTCACAGAGAGAGAGAGAGAGAGAGAGAGAGAGAGAGAGAGAGAGAGAGAAAGAGAGAGAGAGAGAGAGAGAGGCAGAGACATAGGCAGAGGGAGAAGCAGGCTCCATGCACCGGGAGCCCGACGTGGGATTCGATCCCGGGTCTCCAGGATCACGCCCCGGGTCAAAGGCAGGCGCTAAACCGCTGCACCACCCAGGGATCCCATGTCCAACTGTTTTCCAAAGTGGCTGTACTCTTTGCATTCTCACAGCAATGTATAAGGTCTACTTTCTCACCAACACTTGGCATTATCAGTTGTTTGGGTTTTTTTCTTTTTCTTTTAGCCATTTTAGTAGGTATGTAGTATCTATAATGTCATTGTGGCTTTAATTCGCATTTCCCCAATGACCAAGGATCTTTGAGCATCTTTTCATATACTGAACCATCAATTTATTAGAAAATCATTAAATTGGGCAGCCCGGTGGCTCAGCGTTTTAGCACTGCCTTTGGCCCAGGGTGTGATCCTGGAGACCTGGGATTGAGTCCCACATCAGCCTCCCTGCATGGAGCCTGCTTCTCCTTCTCCCTGTGTCTCTGCCTCTCTCTCTCTCTCTGTCTCTCATGAATAAATGAATAAAATCTTAAAAAAAAAAAGAAAATCATTAAATTGTCTATTCAAATCTTTAACCAAATTTTTAAAAAGAATTTATGAGAAAGAGAGAGAGAGAGAGAGAGAGAGAGAGAGAGAGAGAGAGAGAGAGAACGCGCACATGCATGAACAGGGGGAGGGGCAGAGGAGAGGGAGAAACAGACTCTTCATTGAGCAGGGAGCCCAATGCAGAGCTCAATCCCAGGACCCTGGGATCACAACCTGAACCAAAGACAGATGCTTAACCAACTGAGCCAGCCAGGTGCTCCTTTAACCAGTTTTTAAAATTGGGTTGTATATCTTATTAAGCTGTAAGGATTCTACATATAGTGTGAACACAAATGCTTTTATGTGTTTTTATAAATATTTTCTCCCAAGTTGTGGTATGTCTTTTCATTTTCTTAACAGTATTTTTCAACTAGCAATAATCACGCCTCAGATAAACCTCATTGGCTATGATACTGCCACTGCGCAAAGCTGTTAATGGTATTTTTCAAAGGCCTGCTGGAATTTTGATTGAAATTGGGTTAAAAAAAAAAAAAGGAATTGGGTTGAATGTATAGAACAATTTGGAGAGGATAGACAGCTTAATAATACTGATTATTCCAATCTCTGAATATGGCATATCTCTTTTATTTAGGCCTTTAATTTCTCTCAACAATGTTTTAACAAGCTTATCTCTAAGTACTTTTCATGCTATTTCTAAGTGTTATTTTAAAAATTTAATTTCCGGGACACCTGGGTGGCTCAGTGGTTGAACATTTGCCTTCGGTGCAGAGCATGATCCTGGGATCCGGGACTGATTACCGCACTAGGCTCCCGGCATGGAGCCTGCTTCTCCCTTTGCCCATGTCTCTGCCTCTCTCTCTCTCTCTCTCTCTCTCTCTCTCTCTCTCTCTGGGTCTCTTATGAATAGATATTTTTTAAAAATTTAATTTCCCATTGTTTCTTGCTATCATATCAAATATAATTGATTTTGTGGCAGGGGACTAGGATCAAGGTTTCTTTTGGAGTGACAAAATGTTCTAAGATTAAGATGATAGTTGCACAACTCTGTGAACATGCTAAAAAACCACTGATTTGGGGATCCCTGGGTGGCTCAGCAGTTTAGCACCTGCCTTTGGCCCAGGGCGCGATCCTGGAGTCCCAGGATCGAGTCCTGCGTCGAGCTCCCAGGATGGAGCCTGCTTCTCCCTCCTCCTCTGTCTCTGCCTTTCTCTCTCTCTCTCTCTCTGTCTCTCTGTCTATCATAAATAAATAAATAAATAAGTAAAAAAAAATAATAAATAAATAAATAAATCTTTTTTTTAAAAAAACCCACTGATTTATATACTTTAGATGAGTGGTTTTTTTTTTATTTTTTTATTTTTTTTTTAAGATGAGTGGTTTTTATGGCATGTAAATCTTATCTCAATAAAGGTATTAAACACATATACATATATATATATATTTGACTTTTTACATATTCACCTGGTATCCTGCAACCTTGTTAAAACTCAACAATTAGTTCTCGTAGCTTTTATGAAGATTCTTAGGGATTTTTCAATACACTATCTGAGAATAAAGACAGTTGTATTCTATCTATTCTGTATATCTTTTATTTATCTCTTTTTCCCGCCTTACTGCACTAAGACCTCCAATACAATGCTGAATTGAAATAGTGAAAACAAAAATGAGACCTCTGAAGCACACCAGTTTTGTACAGGGAAAAGAGTGATAAAGGTCATTCTGGGAAGGTAAAGGCATGAGCACAAGTGGTACCAGAGGGTGTGAGCTGCAGAGGGGCCTGATTGCCTACTTGGCTAAGGAGCAGGAGTAGAGCCCATAGGGCCACGGCAAGCCAGGACTTGCAAAGGGTAATAAGCAAGCCTGACAGGCTAGCAAGCAGGTCTACTCCTCAAAGCAGCCCCTCCAAATAGCTTTCCCAGCCTCTGCTGCCTCCTTGGGGTCTGTGCCACATGCCCACGTGAACATGCTTAAATACGCTCCTCCCTTCCCAAGTGGCATAGGTAGAAGCTCTCCCTCTGGGAGGGAAGCTCTCTCCAGAGGGGCAGAGTGCTTGAGGATCTGAATAGCTGAGAAAGGAAAGCAGAGCTCAATTTTCAGTGTGTGTATGTATGTGTGTGAGGAGGTGGGGGGTGGGAGAGAAAGGAAGGAGCATGTGGGCAGTAAACAGAGGTATGGGGGTGAGAACAGAGGAGAAGACCAGTGGTTGGCAAGGGAGAGAGAGGGAATGACTGGAGAGGTGAAGTGACCAGATCCTGGAGCCCAAACTCTGCCCTGCATTTGGATTGCTGGGCTCCAGGGCAAGTTGCCCCTCATAATCACATTATTCATCCCAAGACTTGTGTCCCCTGAGCTTTCATGTCTTTTCAGCCAGGAGCCCTGGGGTTAAACAAAGCTTCCTCAGAGCCCATAGTGAGGAACAGGCCAAAGCTGAATGGCCTCTCACTACTGAGTACAGGACCCAGAGAACTGCTGCTCCCCTCCCAATAGCTGCAGAAACTATCTTGAGAACTGCCCAAGGCTGGCTTTAGAAGGCCCAAGGCCTGAAGCCAGGCTCTGTCCCCACCTTTCCTATTCTCGAGACACTGGGACTGCCTGGATTGGGAGACAAGGTGCTACTCCAGGTATCAACCCAACTTCTAACCTCCCCAAGCCCAGGAATGGGCGGAACCTTTCTACTGCTGTGAGTACACAGGTCATTTGACCTCAGGGAAGTACTCTTCTGGGGCACAGTGATGCTCATTCCTGCCCTGCTGATGAGGCTACCACAGGCAATGCCTCTTCTCTGGCCTCCACACAGGAGGCCCTATGGCTCCTGGCAGCAGTAGCTGCAGTAGCAGCTGCTCCTCTGGTCTACAGAAGGCCACAAACAAAGGGGGTCTAGGACCAAAGTGACTGACAATCATCCCTCCAGGTCTGGCTCAGACTGTGCTTGGTGGCCCGAGGCCTGCCCACCATCTTCTCCTGCCTCAGGTTCCACATTAATATGCCACACTGGTCACTGCAGTTCTCCCCTCACCCCACTCCTGGATCCTTCAGATGGAGCATGGGCACTTCCCACACGCGGCACAGTAACTAATCACACTATCTGTGGCAACCTGTGAGGATGAGAGCACCACAATAACCCTTTGTATGTGGCAGGACAGGTGCTGCTGCTTCCACCTCATCAAGAGACTGGGGGCCTTGCTCAGCAGCCCACAAAGCTGAGGAATGTGAGCTGGGATTTGCACCCAAATCTTCAAATTCCAAACCCCACATCTTTCCTGTCATGGGTCCTGTCTCATTTGGGGTGGTGATCACTTGGGCAGTAAAACCATCCCCAAGTCCCCGACCCATCACCTGAAGAGAGGTGTTAGATGCTCTGGTTTTAGGCAGCTGTGGATGTCAGTTCTCGGACTTGAGTGAGTCAGGGGGCCTCCAGGCCAGAAATGGGGGAAAGCCCAGACCTCAGCTCTAGAGGAAGACATAGGGACTGTTGCCTCCTGCCTGAAGGCTGCAGATGCCTGTCTCTGCTCTCCAGAGTGCCCCCAACTTCCCACCTCACCAGGCTGCCAAGGCCAGCTGACCAGAACACACGCTTCCACCCAGTGCCCACTGGAAAAGGCTTCCTAAGCAGGAAGCTACATTTCTCACATCAAAGAACATATACATGATCCAGACAAAAAGACAGGAACACGTAACTTTAGGCCACAGGCCTAAGCTCTCAGCATGGAATCCCCTAGGACAGTGGGTTCTGCTAGGCTGTTATTAACCCAAATTTCTGCTCCAAGGGCCTGGGGTGCCAGGAACAGAAGTGTGGCTCTCCTCAATGGCGCTTGAGCTTTCCCTAAAGCCAAGCCTACCACTCACCACCTCCTAAATGCATCATGATCCTAACGCTTGCCCCTTGAAGGATTCCATAACATTATTTGGAACACTGCCCCCCAGCATATTGCTCACATTCCTGATCAATCCTGACCCCTATCGAACCTTTCAAGTCACCAGGCACTGGTGACTGTCCCCATCTGTCTTCCCTGGCCAAGACAGGAGCTCCTTGAGGCAGGGGCCATACAGTCTCAAAACCAGTTCCTTCAGTGCCCAGCACGTCAGGAGTCTGAGAGGTGATACAAACATGTATGCACACGTGTCTGAGTGTTCGTGTGCAGGTGACCTGTCCTAGCCTGTTTTTCTTTCACACAAGGATGACCCTGTAGGATAGATTTTATATGCAGATTTTACTGTCTAGAAGGTAGAAGACTTTCTAAAACTAGAAGATTTTCTTTGTTTTAGTTTTCTCAGATTGAAGCAGTAGGTACTCTAGAAATCCTAATAAAAATGTGGCCATTTGGGAGAGCGTGGATGCTCAATCAGCTGAGTATCTGACTTTTGGGTTTCTGGTTTCGGCTTCGGTCATGATCTCAAGGTCATAAGATCAAGTCCCGAGTTGGCCTCAGCACTCAGTGGGGAGTCTGTTTGGGATTTTCTCTCCCTCTGCCCCTCTCCTCCACTCACACTCTCTCTCTTAAGTAAATAAATAAATCTTTTTTTTAGGGTACAATTTTAAATAAATCTTTTTAAAAAAAATATAGCCATTTGATTTCTTAAAAGTAGTGAAATTACCCAGAAAAAACATTTCCTTAGTGGTTAAGCCAATGACTCAAGGATATTTGAGAGATATTTTTGTCTCCACATATCGGAGTTCATTAACTATCACCAAAACAACAGATGCTTACATTTCTAAAGACCTAAAATAGAAATTAAGTATTTTGAATGGTTTTCTTCAAAAATAAACTATGTAATTATTTAGACAAAACTACCATAGAGTTGTAAGTATAAATTTTAAATTTTAAAAACTGAAGAGCAAAAAAATAAAAAAATAAAAAATAAAAAACTGAAGAGCTCCGTTAAAAGAAAAAGATACTTATTTAGAATCAATTCAAGATTCACCATCACTCAAGTTGTCTGTAAAATAGGTAAGTTTTCCTGTTCTTGTTTTCAATTCCCAAATGATTTTTCAATTATACAGATTGACCCAAAGGAAGAAAATTCATAGTCCCTGTGGTACACCGAATAAGGCTTTCCAGACATGTCCATGTCCTAATCCAAGAACCTGTGAATATGTGATTGTATATGGTAAAAAAGATTTTTGCAGAAGTGTTTAAGTTAAGGCTCTTGAAATGGGAGACTGGGATTATCTTGGATAATCTAGATGGGGTGGCAAAGCAAACACAAGGGTCCTTGAAGGAAGGAGGCAAGTGGGTCTACTCAGAAAAGGTGATTTTTAAAAAAAATATTTATTTATTTATTCATGAGAGACACACACAGAGAGAGAGGCAGAGACACAGGCAGAGGGAGAAGCAAGCTCCCCGCAGGAGCCCAATGTGGGACTTGATCCCAGATCCCTAGATCACGACCTGAGCCGAAGGGAGCTGCCCAAGCACTGAGCCACCCAGGTGTCCCAGAAATGGTGATCTGAAAGCAGAGATTGTTAGAT